AGTCGATGGCGAATCAAGACAAAAACGAGGTCAACAACCACCCAGGATACGCCCTCTGACACATCAAAAAAATGAGCTTGCTGACACTGCAAGCTCTATACATCCTTCACACGCAGGTCGCCAACCTCGCATTCGTTCAGACATCCCCGAGGACTCAGCCCGAAAGTGTATTGCTGAACTCCCTTGCAACGCCCTACATCATAAACTAAGAAGATTAGTACGTGAAGAGTTCCCCCGAGGTGATGTGAGACAAACTCTTCGACAACAGAACTTTCATGAGTCATCACCTTTAACTGAAGCCATTCTTCAGCACCCCATTTCGGTTGGCTTTAAACTACCGAGCATCGAGTCCTACGACGAGACATCCGACCCATACGAGCATATCGATCACTATAAAACCATCATGCATATGCAATGAACCTCGGATACACTCCTATGTCAGGTTTTTCCTGTCATCCTTAAGGGATAGGCTCGAACATGGTTATATTCGCTTTCATCCGGAACGATCCATTTATTCGTCAAATTGGTCAAAGTGTTCGTCGAACTGTTTGTAGCCAATCGAAGAATTACTAAGAATTATTCCCAACTCTTCGGGATCCGTCAAAATGAAGGAGAATTGTTGAAGGAGTATTTTTAGTGATTTTCTATCGAGGCAAGATAAATTCCAAGAGTAGACCCTAAATTACTGAAAGGGGTCTTTCTTGGAGGCCTTCGTCCTAGCCCATGCTATTCGGCACTCATGCAGGATACTGTTCATTTATATGCCAACCCGATTCATCGTGTGGAGGTGCAAATCTTAGTAGATTTAACTATAAATGCTTAAAACAAATAGTTTGAGCAAACCAATAAAAAACGTAAAGTTGCACCTAGGATTGATAATTCATCCTCACAATAGAAGAAGCAATGGAAGAATAATCTACCTCCTAAGCCTCCATTGACGCGATGGGAACCTCAAAAGGAGGAGTAAACCCCACTTAATATATCTCGAGTAAATGTATTGATGGTTGTTTGAGATCAAGATCCAATGAAATGACTAAATCCTTTGAAATCGAACACATGAAATCCAGAATCGAACACATCAATCCCAGTGGGAGTTGATCCGACCTCTTCCACACATGTTAACATCATCAAGCAGGGCTCTGACATACAACCTTATATAGGTCTTAGATCATTAGTGGATTCTCTCGACCTCTTCCACACAAGTTAATATCATCGAGCAAAGGCTCTGACATACAACATCGGATAGGTCTTACATCATCGGTGGATTCTCATGACCTCTTCCACACATGTTAACGTCATCGAGCAAAGGCTCTAACATACATCATTGGATAGGTCATATATCCTTGATGCATTCTCTCGGCCTCTTTCACACATGAATACAAAATCTTGGAAGGCTTAAAAATCTTAAAAGGTACAAGCTTACAAAAATTATACATCAAATTTATTTTTGCAAGAATCTAAAAGTAAAAAGTATAATGACATCATTCGTACAAATTACTATCATCAAGCAACAAGAAACTTTAAAATAGTTAAATATCATTGGTGGATTTAAGTGACTTTTTTTTCTATGGCACACAAGCATCTCCTACAACTTTTTTTTTTAAAGAAAGATTACTATTTGTTCTTCATCAGACATCAACTCAATTGACACTATTAGTGTGTCTTTGGAATGCTGATAGTGTACACCACTTCATAAGGGATATATGATATTTATACTTTTCAATATTGATGCATATTACCTTAGCAAAATATCATTGGACACCCACCATCATCAGCCATTCGTCTGATATCTGGCGGCGGTCCTTTACTTCGTATCATCCATCATCGGATTATCGCTCGACTGATACTTGAAACGTATCCTCGAACTTTCTCCTTCAGCTCTACTCTCGGCCGTTAATTTCCTACAGGCTTCAACTCGATTATCCATCACTAACAGACTCCCGCTCAAATGGCATTAAAGTTTTCCCTTCTACTTATCACTTATGGTTCTCCTCCAGGATATTATTACCGCTAGATCTTCTCAAATCACCCTCGTATATAAGTAGCAATCGATCTTCTTCTGTCAAGGGTTGTCTATTAAGAAGATAACCACTCATCACGACTCATTCTACACAAGAGAGGGGCACTGAAGCTTGATAAGGGAATGCCGCCTATCTATGACAGTGGAATGTCTCTAATGTAAGAAGCAGAATACAATAAAAAGAACATCTCAAAAAAATCCTAACTTCTACACAAGGAGAGAGGTCTTGAATTTGAGTAGGGGATGCCACCTATCAAAATAGGGGAATATCTCAACTGTAAGAAAGTTATAACGAGGGAGGAGAAAGAAAAAAAATTTCAACTTTTGTACGAGAGGAGGGGGTCGATTTACATAGGGAAAGTCACATACTAAAAACAGCAGAAGACCACTAGAGCAGGAAGAAAAATGGAGGAGAAAGAAGGAGAAAGAAAAGAAAATTTTAACTTCTGTACAAGAGGAGGGGCGCTGAATTAAGTAGGGAAAATCACCTACGTAAAACAGTGGAATACCTCGATTGTAAGAAGATAGCCAGAGGAGAAGTTAGTGAAAGGAGAAAAAAAATTTCTTCTACACTGAAGAGGGGTGCTAATTTAAGTAGGAAAAGTCATCTATGAAAAATAGCGAAAGACCTCTAGAGCAAGAAGAAAAATGGAGGAGAAAGACAAGAAAATTCAAACTTCTATACAAGAGGAGGGGAAATGAATTAAGTAAGGAAAGTCATATACATAAAATAACGGAATGCCTCGGCTATAAGAAAGTCAGAGGGAGAAAAGAGAGAGTGCAAGTTTCTCTGTGGTCCTATAGGGGTATTTATAACATTTTTTGGAAGAGGATAGGCTTCATGAAGATTATAGAATTTTGTTGGAATTTTATAAATTTTTCTGAAATTTTTTAGAGATTTTTTGAGTTAAAAATGCTTTAAAAAAATAAAAATTCAAGTAACCGCCGGCTAAATGCCATAGAACTGCGCGCAAGCGCGACTAATCGAGCGCTGAGCGCAGGTCGCCGCCGGCGTCTGCGGCGGGTGGTAGCCGATCGATTCGGCCACCTACGCTTGTCCTATTATAAT